GTCCTGTTCGCCTAGGGATGGTCCTCCAGCTGCAGACGAGGTTCTGTCTGTTCCTACTCCACATTTAGTAGTCGTGTCCAGCAGTGGTGGATCGTCCAGATTCAGACCCGAAGACCTCACACAGATTCTCCCTGGTGGGCTTCCAATACCTCCCCTGCAATGGGAATGTATCACATCCTTGATGTTGGCGTTCCCCTGTTCTATTTGAAAGATGTCTCGCGTTTCCTTCTGACGGAAGTCTCTCATTGCACGGTAATGTCGGAACCCAGTGTATGTCGTTTCCCTGGTGTTGGACTCCCTCGGGTCTCCCTGCTAGAAACGCGTGTCTGAATGCTAAGCTTGGGCCTGCTGACATCATTAGCCGCCTCTGTCTACCACTGGTAGTGCTGTGGGCAACACGTGAATGTAGGTGTTGTGAGGTTGACGACGAACTCAAGGACGAGGAAACGAAATGAGAGTTATGGTATTCTTCCAAAACTGAATTCATCAGTCTGTTCATGTCTCGTCTCAGGCTGCGAGGATTTGTTTGTGCCTGGACATACTGGCGAGGAGTCAGTGGCACCAGATGTCCATCAACAACCAGAAAAGGTAAAAACATCTTCACGCAAGGAGCAGGTGTACTCATTGTAGACAGGCAGATCTTAAACAATAGTCAACTATGTGGAGAGCTCTAAGCGCAAAGATGACTTAAAAAGACGTTCTCCTGGGGATGCGTTGCCCTGGTGGTTACTGTGACGTCATAGAGACGTTTCACATAATACAATGACGTCAGCTAGTGAGGCAAACATAGTTGTGACGTCGACAGAAAGGACAGCATGAGATTGTGACAGCACACAATAATCGCTATGTTGGATGGCATCAATGCAATGAAATGTACGAAGAAACTAGGCAAATGGACAAAGCTCTGTTTTGGATTACCCCCACAGTGATGAAGCTTCGCCACCATTTGAAAGAGAGGGACTTTGCGTTGGCACTGCTTTTAGAAATAATCTATGGATGGAGGACTCCAGAAGATGGGTTCAAGACCCTAAGACGATCATAAAACGTCAATAAAACTGGTTTTATCGGTTTATTGGGATTGGCTTGTTGTTATAACACTAAAAGCAGCGTTTTGAAACATAGGTTTTTAATAGTATTAAATATTTCCAGTTTAACCTATATATTTCTGTGTGAAGTTTCAAACAGATCGGTCGCCATGATGGAAGTGTGTAGGATTGGTGTACATGGCCTTTTTACTGTCTATTATCATGTTATCTCAAACTTCACTGTAGACCCACTCTGCCATTGACTCTAGCATACAGAAATAAACTGCCAATTATACAATAATAAACAAAGTGAAGTAGTGTTATTTCACCGGGAGTTCTGAAATCGATTGTCATTGTCATCGATCGGATGTAATTTGGTGATCATAAACGTAGCATGACGGAAGTGAATCTTAAGTACAACTTATCTCATCTTGCATCTGCACAAACTATCAAATGTCAAGCTGTTTACCACTGCAAACACGCAAAACATCGTGTAAACCTCGGGGAATAACAGAAGCGTCTCCATGGCCAACAGTTGTCACCAAACCTTCTGAGTCAGTTGCTCTATTATTATTTAATAATGGAAACTACAATAAGAAAGGTAGTATTCTGATGTTGTATATTACAGGATGTACAGAAGCGGGGGAATTGTTGTAGGCTAATGATTAAAGCGTTCGCTGGTCACGCCAAAGTCCAGGTTCGATTCAGCACATTCAATTTCCGTGTCCCCCAACCAGTGGTGGTGTTGGAATATTGCCGAAAGCGGCATGGAACTCAACACTAACACCACGTGGGATAACCATAAGTCTTATACTTTTCCTATTGGTATCTTTCAACCAGACTCATTTATACAGTGCCCGCCGGGTACCCGCGGACGACTGGCTGTGTCAGACACATTTGCCCACGTCCCATGTAGTAAAACAGATACCTTTTTTCATGTTTCTGCTGAATGGTTCGCACAAAATGATTTCGGAGACGAACGATGTCAGATCGTTGACACAACAGAGCCCTGTTTTGACAACTCATCTTTGTGTATCTAAAACGTCATTTAAAAAGATGTCATAGCTTGTATTTTGTAACAGGTAAATCATAGTCAGTTTCAAGATATACTGAGAGAAACAAATAAAGGATCACAGGAAAATGCAAGCATTCCTTTAATATTTTCCAGTTTTCAACACCAGCTTCGAATAGCGCTGTGGTGATGAAAACTGGAAAATAATAAAGGAACGCTTGCATTTTCCTGTGATCCTTTATTTGTTTCTCTCAGTATATTGCTTTAGGTTTCAAGATATTTCTTTAAGAATCATAGTGACGTGCATATGTTCGAAAGTAGTTCAACAATTGCACGTCCGGCTTGATTTGTCCGAACACTGTCTAATTTATCAACCCTCCATGTTATGTTCTGCTTGCTCGAAGGACACTTTCTGCTTGTCAGGTGACATACCAAGAGCTCCAGAAATGGCTCTTTATTAATTGCATATAATAGTCCTGCTTCACGCTGAAAGAAACCATACATCAGCTGAGCAGCACATCTTGCCAGTCAACAACCACATGGCACATACAAAAGGTAGCACCTGTTGATTGTGTATTCCCGATTTTGTCACTCGTTGCTGAGGATAACGACACCCTCCCCATAGAACTACCATCACTTAGTGATTAGGTTTACTGCCACCTTCACCACTTGACCGACTGTCCACTCAGTGTGTGAGTGAGGGAATCCCTACACAGCCATGAAGGTCGTTTCCAGGCTGGTCAAAGACAACTATATTAACCCAAGAATGTGCCAAGAATTATAATCATTCTTGGAATGAGTGAGTGAGTTTAGTTTTATGGGGCAATATTCCAGCACTATCACCACAGGGGACACACCAGTCTTGGACCTATCACATCATTACATAATGGGTTTTGGCATCACCCCTAAATTGGGTAAATACCACTCAAAGAAGCTAATGAACACTGATTCTTTCATTTTACTTGAGTTAATCTGTATGTCATAAGCAGTAAGCTGTAGTGTGTGACTTGTTTGAGTGGCATTTAGAAGTTGGTGTGATGAACAACTAGGAGAGTTCTATGGATATACAACTTCTTTAATATAATATGAGCGACGTTTCGGTGTAGCTACTAACGCCGTTATCAAGCAAATGATGATAAATGCCTTCGTCATTTGCTTGATAACGGTGTTAGAAGCTACACCGAAACGTCGCTCATATTATATTAAAGAAGTTGTACAGTACAACCAGAAATTATTGAGAATTTAAAGATTGTAATTTTTTTTTATTTTCTTCACTCATTACTCACGTATTAAATGTGAATATTAGCAGAACATAACTCCAGATTCAAAGACAGGTGAACAGTTAGTATTTTGTCAAGTCACCATGGGCAGCAATGCAGGCCTCAATGCGGCGGGGTCAAAGAAGTTAGAAAGTCTTGGTCCATGCTGTCCCAATATCGGACCATCCCTTCTTTCTTTTCAGCAATATTTGTCAGATTGTTCTTATTGACACTTTCCTTCATGAGTCCCCAAACATTTTCTATTGGATTTAGGTCAGGGCTATAGCTTAGACAATCTAATAATGTCATATTTTGGGTCCGAAACCAGGCCTGTGAATGCTTTGAACGATGTTTTGGGTCGTTGTCCTGCTGGAAAATCCAAACATTTCCATAGAACATGCGAGCGGATGGAAATAAATGTCCCTCGAGAATATCTGTGTACCGCTCACTGTTCATATTCCCTTCAAATACACAGAGGGGTGTTGCCCCTAACACAGATATGCCACTCCACACGTTAAATTTCGGACTGTACTTTGGGCGCTGATACAAAGGTTTTTCAGTTTGTTTGGTCCAGAATTTCAGTGTATTATGAAACAGCCACACAGAACTTTCATCTGAGAAAATCACATTGTCCCAGTTAAAATTTCTAAGCTGTAAGCACCAGTTCAACCTTCGCTCCTTTTGTTCAGGTTTCATGATCGGTGATGGAATTCCTCGACTTTTCTGCCAACCCATTGCATGCAGCTCAGTTCTAATTGTCTCCTTCCAGACAGCCACAGTTCCTCTATCAATCATATCCAGCCTTAAATTTTCTAAACTCCTTCGTTTGTTTTTAGAAACAAAAAATACCAAGCCGCCTCCTGTCACAGACAGTCATTTTTCTGGGCCTACCTGCGCCTCCCTGGTGCTCAACGCCATATCCATTTGCAATATTTTTCAAAACACGATAAACAGTGGACAAAGGGATGCCTGTTCTACTTGAAATCACTTTAGCTGATCTTATGTCCTTGTTATAACACTCTAAAATCAACTTCCTCTTCTCTAAATCATCCATACTGGGGATCACTGAAAATGTCGTCTGCTAGCAAGTAAACAAAGGGGGATAACTCTTCACAAACTAATGAACAAGGATTGACGGAGTTGTCTCTCTTGAATGAAACCAAGCACTTGATAGCTGGTCAAGGTTGTTTATACTTGAAATCCAATTAAACATATTCCTAAAATTCTCAATAATTTCTGGTCATACTATATATCCAAGGAACTCTCCTCGTTGTAGTGAGTGAGTTTAGTTTTACCCCACTTTTAGCAATATTCCAGCAATATCAAGGCATGGGACATCAGAAATGGGCTTCACACATTGTACCCAAGCTGTAGAAATAGACCTGCGAAGATTGGGGTTAGAATTGGTCTTCAGCAGCTCATGCTTGTTGGAAAAAGTACTTGAATTTGGTGGTGAGACTTTCTGCTGATCGATGCTCATGATGACAGTCACTGGATTGTCTGGTCCAGATTAGATTATTTTCTGACTGCTGGAAAGTGACAATAAGCAACACACCAACTATAGTAATATGAAGGAAACAGGGGTTCTATAATATCTTCTGAGTAGTATAGTTAAAGACAGACACTGTGAAACTGCTGCAATACTTACTGTAGGAGTCAGCAATGTTGTCAGAGCCCTCATGAACAGATTACAGGAGACAGTCCTACATTGTTAATGAAGCTTTATTGCCTTATAGACTAGTGATATGTAGATGTTATGTAGAATATAATATACACTCATACAGCTGGCCCTTGGAGGCAGTGGAAACCATTCTAAGACAGATTTATTAACTGAGACTTGGTAAAAACAAGAGAGAGAGTCAACAAAGTTCCGCCTGAGTCAGCAATATTCCAGCTATATCATGGCGAAGGAGAATCACTACGATCCACTGTCTAAGCATCAGCTCTGCTAGTATATCCATCAGGCTATTCTCGGAAACTAAGCACAAATCTAAGGCACTATTTCATGGAATTCAACTATCCAAACTTTTATATTATGTATATTTTAATAATTTGTTCAACAAAAATACAAACTTAACCTGAAGAAAATAATTTGTAAAACTAAAGTGGAATGCATCTGACAGGAATATTTACACATTATTTCCCTAACATTCTTTCAAACAACCTTCACCATGTGTGAAAAGTCCATGCATCACAAGCTGGATTTAAACAAGACACAACCCTTTATTAAGAGATCATTCATAAAACAACAGGCTCTGACTTGGACATGGAGACAGGACAGCTGAGAAGATCAGCCTGACAAGATGAGAGTGCTGACACTGTATGTCTGTACAGGGTGGGTGTAGTGTGTGAGCTTGTGTGAAAACACTCCTGCTTGGAATGATAGTGAAAGTAATTCTGTCCTAAGTCAGACATCTACCAACAAGTGACACAATCTAAAACTGTTGCAAATAGACACCTTGAATGTGTTGTGAACCAGTAGCTCGTTAAAACAATTACCAGAGGTCTTGAATACAGGTGCCCCCCTCATGTTTACAATAAAAACCTGCACTCAGAAACATCTCAAACAGTACCTTCCTACTCAACACAAAGTGAATCTAAAAAGGCATTCAGTGTCACCACCCCCATTCAAACGTATCTAAAAACATTCAACTTCACTGATCTTAATAAGACCCTGAAAAAAAGGGACACAACAACATGCTGTGTGACATTGTAACCATAGCAACAGGTGAACACACCCTCGTGGAAGCTATTGTAGCTGTCATTACATCCTCAACACTGATATCCATCGATAACAGGCAACAAGGATAGATTGCCGCGGTCATATATGCAACAACAGATACCTCATTACATCCCTGTTGAAAGTAGGTCAAACATTCTACATCCTCGGGGGCTGGCTGAAATATTCATCCAATACACAACCCTTCGTCAGACAGACCCTATCAAACCTTTCATTAATGTGCCATAATGTCTTGATAATTTCAATAAAATGTGCCAAATTTTTAAAAGAGGTGGTACATGTAAAGATGATAAAATCCATGGCAAGAAAAGACATAATCTGGTCACTAATCCTGTATGTCCGTGGGTCAGTTTTGTAGATGCTTTTCGGAACATCATATAAAAATTTGTGGGAATCAAACATAGACGTTTAGCATGGCACGCAAATACATTTAAAACTACACCATACATCACTGTATTGTGCCTTAAACACATTGTAACTGACTCAAGTCCAGAAGTCCAGATCGGTGTTCTGAAGATGACCTAAGTGACAGATATCCTGTATAGTGAACTTAACCCTTTAACCAATAACAGGTCTAACAACCAAGCCGAGTTACACTGGTTAATGTAGCTATGGCCTTTATACTTCGGGGGGGTGAATATGAATGGTATGACGACACAGAGGTTGTTGTCAGGCTGAAGAGAAAGTACATCAGTTGATCAATAAATACAAGGGAATATATTACTGTACACTGCCTAATCACCTGTACACAAGCTAGTTTCTTACACTTAAATGCAGACTGTATCTGAATACAAAGCCCATTGTCTTTGCATAAAGCAGCTTCTACAAGGCTACAATTATACACCCAGGGACAGAGGCCCCAACCCAGGAGATGACAATACAACGACCCACACAATAGGCAGCTATCTCACTGTAATCATGATTAGTTCATACTTTTAGAAAATAACATCATGGATAAGATGGACATTGCCAGCATGATTCAAGGGCCACTTTTCTAAAAGTAAAAGTATGTTGAGCGAAATAGAATTTCAAATTGTTCAGTTGTTTACTTTGAGTCTTGTTAATCTGAAACATAAATGTCTGAATTTACATAAAATGGGTTCCGACAAATGTCTGTATCTTTTTATTTTGAGATGCTCATATGTAACCATTCAGATGGTGGGTTTCATTGAATGGACTTTAGGGGTTAATTTCTGTCCCTGCAATCATATCCTGCTGGACCTCTGGGGAGTCACACTGACAAAACAAATATGATATCTTCCTGCTAGAGGTCAGTCAGTCAGACAGACCGACCTAACAGAACACAAGCCCCGATCACAACCATTTGATACCCCACAGTGAGATCGGTTTTCACACTGTCATATATCTTGTTGCAATGTCTGAAATGTGTATGTATAATGGTGTTTAATATACATCCACACAATTAGTCTGATGTGATCCAATCCTAGCAGATATACCTTCACAACCCAATCTGTTCAAGTCACATCACCGAGTCTACACAACTCATGCTTCAAGAGAAAACAACAAACTCATTACAGTGGTATAATACAATTTGAGAGTACAAACTGGAATACAACATAACACAGGAGTTGTCACCTCCCACTGTCTCCTCACCATGGTTACACATGATATCATTAACTCTTCCTGTGCTAAGCGAATGATAATGATATAGCACCATAGTAGAAGTTACATTGAGAGCAGAGCAAGAGTTAATGATGATACTCTCATTGGTAAAACACATCTAGGAAGTTCTACATGCATCTATGCAAAAGCATCTTTGTTGTAGACATCACACAATAGCAAATATTTACGTCAAAAACTTTTAAAAATAAACAAACGTTTATTTCACATGTAACAAATTTTGAATGTACATTTCAAATTAGATCTATATTAATTGGTTTCTTCGAAGCAAAATAAATGTGTTCAAAAGCTATTATCTATGTAACAGATCAGCCACTTACAGTCGTAGCTATGTAACATTGTAACACATTATATTAACACTGAATATGAGGACATCTTCCCACAGGACACCACACTTATCACACCTACGGGCGATAACATGCGGCAACTTACAGCTGATTAACAGAACGTGGCCTGACCTAAATACTTCTGCCCTTGTTACAGATACTCTACAAGTTCATACACTGAGAACAAATCTACATTGTATCGCTGTGATTTTATTGAAATACTAAAAGCAAACCTGTATAAAATCTCAAATAAAACAGCCTGGTCTGCAATGTCAATGCAATCCCAGGTTGTGTTAAAACAAATCAATATCATGATCATAAATATAGTAAAAGCTTAGGAACAACCTCATTAAAACTGTCAACTAGATTTAGGAACAATAACTTGTTTGAAATGATCTAGTTGTCTAACAAGCATGATACATATTACTCAGAAAGCTTAAATATTATCTATTGTCACACATATTCACAACAAATCCCATGTGAATATATTCTGTGCTGCTTGCATGAAGCAAGAAACACGAAACAATGGTACCTGGACTGTTGAGAATGTGTGGGAGAACATGGTGGCTAAATGAGGAATGTACGAGGTAGAGATGACGCGAGCATCATGGTAAGGGAGATAATAGTGTGTATAAACCAACATATAGACAGTGCATAGATACTATCTGAGGGTATTGTCCTGTATACAAATGGCACATAGTAGCAAGATAATATCAAGAGTTGTCTCCCTTGCATTGTTGATTCCATGACCAGATCTTTTTCCAGTCATCAATGGTCCAAAGTAGCCTCTTACAGCATTGTTTCCATGACTACTGTTACCGGGAAATCCGGCTGGAAGAAAAGACAAAATTGGATCAGAATCTGTATTCATGTATTGACATCATGATTAAGTTTAAAAGTACAAGGAAACCTATTACATTAATAAAATGCAAAAAGTCAACATATATGTCTGAAAGAACACAAGTCACAAAGTCAATAGGATATTCTTTTCTTACAGCTATATACTTTCTCATAAAATTACTATATTATGCCAGCAATTAATCTGAGTATGCTAATACTATCAACAGACATTACCATAGGCGGGACTATCAACATTTCTGGTGAGGTATCTGAGGTTACATTCAAACTATTTTAATATGCAACCAAACATGGAAGTTTTAATTACATGCATAATTGTTTCTAAGACAAGATTAGGAAAGAGCTAGAATTTAAGCTAGAGCTAGATGATTAATGAAAATCTTTGTACAATCTAAAAGCCATACAAGTGTGATTCCTTTCAGGAGTCTTGATCTCTGTCAGTAATGACACACAGGTAAATCTGTGATTGTAATCAATTACCTCAATCAGACATGTGACACACAGGTAAATCTGTGATTGTAATCAATTACCTCAATCAGACATGTGACACACAGGTAAATCTGTGTGATTGTAATCAACCACCTCAGTCAGAGATGACACACAGGTAAATCTGTGTGATTGTAATCAATTACCTCAGAAATGACACACAGGTAAATCTGTGTGATAGTAATCAGCTATCTCAGTCAGAGATGACACACAGGTCAGTCTGTGCGATTGCAATCAATTATCTCAGAGATCACACACAGGTAAATCTGTGTGATTGTAATCAATTATCTAAGTCAGACTGACTGACTGAGTTTGGTTTTACGCTGCTTTTAGCAATATTCCAGCAACATCACGGCAGGGGACACCAGAAATGTGTGAAACATTGTACCCGGATTCGAACCCGGGTCTTCGGCGTGACGAGCCAACGCTTTAACCATTAGGCTACCCCACCGCCCCATCTGAGTCAGATGAGGTGAGGTGAAAGTGGGTTTAACGTCGTGCTTGAGAATATTTCGCTCATATGACGATCCATCTGAGTCAGAGATCACACAGGTAAATTAGTGTGATTGTAATCAACTGCAGTTTAATCTGTATGAATCTGATCAGCTGTTCTTGGTCAGGATTGACACATGTGAATGTGATCAGTTATCTCAGTCAGAGATGACACACAGGTAAATCTGTAAATGTTAGGCAGGTATAGATCCATCAGCCAGGGTCAGTAAGGGGAGATAACTATGTTCTATCACAAGGCAGAGTTTTCAGAAGCTAATGTTTACAAGTATGGTGCAATAGGAACACAATTGACCTTTTGTACGTATAGTCCTCCCTGCAACCTCAAGGAATAAACCCGCACAATGAAAAATATTAGAAAAGTAAAATGTGTAAAACCTATACATGTCAATAAACCCCCACAATGAGAAATATCAGAAACATAAATGTGTAAATCCTAAACAAGTCTTCCCCTCCTAGTGGACCTCCTCTGTCTTGACAGTACTGACCCCACTGAAGTATGTGTTATGCTGTGTGTATGATAATACTTGTCATACTATGTACAGACCCCACTGAAGTATGTGTTATCCTCTGTGTGTGATAATACTTGTCATACTTTGTACAGACCCTACTGAAGTATGTGTTATGCTGTGTGTATGATAATACTTGTCATACTATGTACAGACCCCACTGAAGTATGTGTTATCCTGTGTGTGATAATACTTGTCATACTATGTACAGACCCCACTGAAGTATGTGTTATCCTCTGTGTGTGATAATACTTGTCATACTTTGTACAAACCCCACTGAAGTATGTGTTATCCTCTGTGTGTGATAATACTTGTCATACTTTGTACAGCCCCCACTGAAGTATGTGTTATCCTCTGTGTGTGATAATACTTGTCATACTATGTACAGACCCCACTGAAGTATGTGTTATCCTCTGTGTGATAATACTTGTCATACTTTGTACAGCCCCCACTGAAGTATGTGTTATCCTCTGTGTGTGATAATACTTGTCATACTATGTACAGACCCCACTGAAGTATGTGTTATCCTCTGTGTGTTATAATACTTGTCATACTTTGTACAGTCCCTGAGTGTTTATCATGTTTGTTATCCACTGTAGAGTCCTGTGTGTGCGATGCACTTGTCATACTCTGGACAGTCCCAGAGTGTATATAATATGCTTGTTATAAACTATATCCTCTGTGTGTGATACACTTATACACTTGTTATCCACTGTACAGTCCCAAGATGTGTTGGATATACTTGTTTGACTCTGTACAGCCCTTGAGTGTTTATACCATGCGTGTAATACCCTGTACAGTCCAAGGTGTGTATACTGATTGTTATCCTGTTATCTAGGCCCAGGTGTGAACAATATACTTGTTTGACTCTACACAGCCCTTGAGTGTTTATACCATGCTTGTAATACCCTGTACAGTACAAGGTGTGTATACTGATTGTTATCCTGTTATCTAGTCCCAGGTGTGAACAATATACTTGTTTGACTCTACACAGCCCTTGAGTGTTTATACCATGCGTGTAATACCCTGTACAGTACAAGGTGTGTATACTGATTGTTATCCTGTTATCTAGTCCCAGGTGTGAACAATATACTTGTTTGACTCTACACAGCCCTTGAGTGTTTATACCATGCGTGTAATACCCTGTACAGTACAAGGTGTGTATACTGATTGTTATCCTGTTATCTAGTCCCAGGTGTGAACAATATACTTGTTTGACTCTACACAGCCCTTGAGTGTTTATACCATGCGTGTAATACCCTGTACAGTACAAGGTGTGTATACTGATTGTTATCCTGTTATCTAGTCCCAGGTGTGAACAATATACTTGTTTGACTCTACACAGCCCTTGAGTGTTTATACCATGTGTAATACCCTGTACAGTACAAGGTGTGTATACTGATTGTTATCCTGTTATCTAGTCCCAGGTGTGAACAATATACTTGTTTGACTCTACACAGCCCTTGAGTGTTTATACCATGCTTGTAATACCCTGTACAGTACAAGGTGTGTATACTGATTGTTATCCTGTTATCTAGTCCCAGGTGTGAACAATATACTTGTTTGACTCTACACAGCCCTTGAGTGTTTATACCATGCTTGTAATACCCTGTACAGTACAAGGTGTGTATACTGATTGTTATCCTGTTATCTAGTCCCAGGTGTGAACAATATACTTGTTTGACTCTACACAGCCCTTGAGTGTTTATACCATGCGTGTAATACCCTGTACAGTACAAGGTGTGTATACTGATTGTTATCCTGTTATCTAGTCCCAGGTGTGAACAATATACTTGTTTGACTGTACAGCCCTTGAGTGTTTATACCATGTGTGTAATACCCTGTACAGTACAAGGTGTGTATACTGATTGTTATCCTGTTATCTAGTCCCAGGTGTGAACAATATACTTGTTTGACTCTACACAGCCCTTGAGTGTTTATACCATGCGTGTAATACCCTGTACAGTACAAGGTGTGTATACTGATTGTTATCCTGTTATCTAGTCCCAGGTGTGAACAATATACTTGTTTGACTCTACACAGCCCTTGAGTGTTTATACCATGCTTGTAATACCCTGTACAGTACAAGGTGTGTATACTGATTGTTATCCTGTTATCTAGTCCCAGGTGTGAACAATATACTTGTTTGACTCTACACAGCCCTTGAGTGTTTATACCATGCGTGTAATACCCTGTACAGTACAAGGTGTGTATACTGATTGTTATCCTGTTATCTAGTCCCAGGTGTGAACAATATACTTGTTTGACTCTACACAGCCCTTGAGTGTTTATACCATGCGTGTAATACCCTGTACAGTACAAGGTGTGTATACTGATTGTTATCCTGTTATCTAGTCCCAGGTGTGAACAATATACTTGTTTGACTCTACACAGCCCTTGAGTGTTTATACCATGCGTGTAATACCCTGTACAGTACAAGGTGTGTATACTATTGTTATCCTGTTATCTAGTCCCAGGTGTGAACAATATACTTGTTTGACTGTACAGCCCTTGAGTGTTTATACCATGCGTGTAATACCCTGTACAGTACAAGGTGTGTATACTGATTGTTATCCTGTTATCTAGTCCCAGGTGTGAACAATATACTTGTTTGACTCTACACAGCCCTTGAGTGTTTATACCATGCGTGTAATACCCTGTACAGTACAAGGTGTGTATACTGATTGTTATCCTGTTATCTAGTCCCAGGTGTGAACAATATACTTGTTTGACTGTACAGCCCTTGAGTGTTTATACCATGTGTGTAATACCCTGTACAGTACAAGGTGTGTATACTGATTGTTATCCTGTTATCTAGTCCCAGGTGTGAACAATATACTTGTTTGACTCTACACAGCCCTTGAGTGTTTATACCAGGCTTGTAATACTCTGTACAGTCCTCATGTGTCTGATATACCTTCTACATCCTGTACTATACCAGTGAGTCAATACTGTACTTGTTATATTGGGTACAGTTCCAGGTGGCCAACTGTTATACTACATTCTACATAATACATGATTCAACATAGAGATTAATGAGTCAAGCTAGCTACAGTTTAATATACCCTATAACCAAATGTTTAGTAATATGAACTATTTATTATCTGAAAACAAAGAATATAAAGATGAAATAAATGAAGTATTATGAAACAAATAAAAAGAATACTGTGATGAGAGAATGTAATACTGTGACACCAGACAGGAGGTGACTAACAAGATGCCTCTGATGTTAGTGAAGGAAGCCAATATAAGGACAGTCTACACATGCAGAATGGGATGCTGAGAGTCAAACCTGAAGCCATTCTTCCTCAGTGCTGCAGTGTCTAAAGACTGCAAGTAAGTAAGGTTAACCTTATTTAACATTGACCACTTCACATTATGATCAAGTATTTTAGAAATTAAATCTTTCTCCAGATGCTTTTCTGGTTTGAATGTGGCTGTAACTCTTTGAGTTATGGAAGTGAAGATTTATACTGTAAATTTAAACTGATGAGAAAACCCATTTAACTGACTCCTTTATTTAGACACAACCAAGATAAATCTAAAACACAACATGTCCAAAACACAATAGGAGCACACTGGAGCCCTGAGATCTAGGACCACTTAATTTGTTGAGCAGCATTGTGTCCCTTAGCTTTGACAGGATCAGCTGATCATACATCCTAATTCCAGATTTCCAAGATTATGATCCATGGTGTGTTACCACCATACTTGTTGGTTTACAGCATCATAAAGATATATCTATGATCTGTAGCACTCTGGGATTATCTTTAACACAAAGCTGACATGTTAGTTGAAACTGTTTAAAGCAGCTTTAAATCCGTCTTACTCTAACAAAAGAATTCCATTGATAACTTATTGGTATTAAATATTTCTCTTGAGCTACTGTTCCTCCCATGAAGTATTCCCTTAAAGCGACAATCCCAATAAGCTAACCACGTCCCAGCACACAGTAATAATAAGTGTTGTAGAACCTGAAGTTTACCTTGGCGTGGGAGAGCTGGAACTCTTGCGTTTTCTCACAAGACCCTAGAAGGAAACACGACATGCATACTGAACACAAGATATATGAAACAGGCAACCAAGGGCAGAGAGAAAGTGCAACTAAACTCAACATAAGGAGGCAGTGCTGTGACAACATGGCATGGTATAAACGATTACAACATCGGATAAACAGTTACAGCAATCAACAATAGGAACAGATGGAGGCATATGCTTACTGAATTAAGGAAGAGACTTAAATACAATAGAAACTATATAGAAAACTATAAACTATGACTTTTCATTCAAAAATATTTTATTAATATACATGTACTACTCAAAAACAGTTAAGAACACTTGATTCTTTCAGATTACGTCCATCATGCCAAGACAGATGAATGACAGCAATGTGAAAGACGTGTTTCTTGACTTCTTTTGAGCAGCATACAGTCAAATGTTTCCAAAGCATCTCATTTGAATCATCAATAGCAGGTGCTTTAGTTTCCAGAAACCAGGTTCCAGTGAACTACATGGGAAAGGGTTCCATTCCGTGAAGTGCCATAATGTTCATATACTACTCAAAGGAAGTAAAGTAAAACCCCTGATTCCTTCCTATTACTGTTGTAACCTGCCAGCATGACAGACAAACTACAGATGTAGGAATGAATCAGTTGTCTGGTAACTTCTGTTGGGCAGTATTTATAGTGATGGAAAGTAATCAGAGATCATTCGTTATATGAAAGGTGTTTGGTTAAATATATTGGTTGTTTTACTGTGTACCCTGCAATATTCTGTTACATCACATAATCATGAAAACCTTTGGTAGAGGTGAACAATAAGATCGTATTCAGTTGCAAGCAATAAAGAGAGATGGCATCCGGTCAAGCTCATGTCTCCACTGCCTATAGGTTCTGAGAAAATGTTTCAGAGATGTTTGAGCATGCAGCAAAACACCCGATATCATCTTGTCTTACATTGATCTTGTTTTTGATATGCAGCCACTCAGAAGCACAACTTTGGAATATTTGGTGTGTTCCCTCATCATACTTTCCATCAATACCTGTGACACAATGTTTGCCATGCAGGTAGGCAGGGCTATACAGGGTGTGGGCTGTCAGTCAACACAGGGCTTCCAGGGAGGGTACGTCATATGTGTTCAAGGCATTTGGGACCTCATCAACTGATGACAACTATAAGTGAACATTTGTAATTTTTTCTTCTCAAAATTTGTAATGTGAAGTGACTTATTCATAGTTCTCATACATCTTTGGTAATACCAAAACAAAATGTCATTATTAAGTCATCAAACATAATGAGTGGAGCAGTACTTTGTTAAAGGGCAGGTAATTACAACCTGTAGTTATATCCTTTTTCATTTTGACATTTTGTTTTCGCCCACATACATAATTCATAAATGACCGGATGACTTAATACTCATTCTGGTGACATGGGTACAGTTCTGAAAGGACTCAAGTGTTCTGGGAACTGTGGAAACAGGATGGCCATATTTGGGCAGTGCCAGGCTTTACTCACTCTTTCAGTTACAGCTTGGGGTGGTAGCTTCAAATATATATCACTGTTTAGGTAGGCTGTGTTAGCTTTGACTCGAGATGTAAATTTTAATCCTTTGAAACAAGCCAGCTGAAGGTGGCACCAGTCTTAGAGACCTAAACATATCTCCAGTTCAAGACCTCTGCATGGAATCCCTGTGTCTCAGGAGCTACAAAGGGCAGTGATGGGCAAACTGAAAACTAGCAACACAACTTACAGGTGAAGTCTTGGAGAAATTAAGGTGTGCGTAAAGAACTACGCCAATATCTTTGTGGCCTGCCTCCATTGCAATTGACAAGGCCGTGCTGCCGTCCTGACAACAAAACAGAAATCAGGCAAACAGAAGAAAAAAAACATAGCAAAATCGACATGCACAGAAACAATATATACAGACAGGATGCAAGTAACTGGGAAAACATGCGGCACTGTGCTGATTTCCACACACTTCACGGGAGATATGGGCAGAGTATGTGCTTTTGTTCAGGTCAAATTCACTGGGCCTGAATTTAATTCCCCCTCCGTAAACACACACACGAAATCACAAACACTGTTAACTTTTCATCATTTTGATTTCATTTTAGACATTTTCTTAAAATAATTAATTTATTTATGTTCATTTATCTTCTTCTAAATGCAAGCTGCATGAAACAATTTTGTACTTGTCTTTAATAATTACTTTTGTGAATCAAATTTTCCCCTGAAAATAATAGCTGATCTGGCTAATTTTGAACTAAAAGGTGCAAAAACAATATGATCATAAGACAAAGATAGTAACACAATCACAAGTATGTATTTGTGAGTGTGTGACTGTAGTGACGTACTGCCGTAAAACCAGAGAGACAGAAAGATGAACCAGAACGGGGTGACACACAATGACCATGATACATGAAATAAAACTGTGAGAAACAACACACTGTTTACCTCCACAGTCTACCCATCATCAGGAGACTGATAGCGACTGAAGTATGCCATCGTTATATTGGAAGAGGCACATATCTGAATGTTTGATAACAACACTTTCATCACTGGACATACACACTATATGCATCGGTAGGATGATACGATTACATAGCACATCTAGGGGATACAAAGTATATGCAATGTATAGGATGATATGAAATATACAGCTAAGATAATATGGTGCAAATTCACTATTGATAATTACATTTCAATAAAGAACAATGTTACAGAGAAACAGATCGATATATTAATTCAAATAAGACAATCAAAACAATTTTACAAGGGAGTATCTAAAGTGCAGGACACACAAAAGATGAGACAGGATTTTTGACAAATTTGACAAATTTTGAAAAATCAATGTGTAAAGATCTAAAGTTGGAATTGTCTTCATCTACTGCTTGTCCCATGATAAAGAGTGGTTACATCAAAGAGTAGGTTGTGCTGGGACTCACATTGTCAGTCAGGTTGGCATCAGTAGCGGGATGACTGAGCAGCACCTTCACGATGTCGTTGTGGCCGTGTTCACACGCACACATGAGTGCAGTGGAACCATCGTTGTCGTGGGCATTCACGTCTGCTCCAGCATCCAGAAGGAACTCCACCATGTTGGTGCGACCATGACTGATCGCCAGCATCAGGGCCGTCTGACCTGCCTGGAAACACGTGTGGTGAGTGAATGAGTGATTTCACTCAAGTACTATTTCCCTGAATCTTATTAATGAAACAATTTCCAATATCTAAAATTTATTATAGCTATCAAAATATCTTGACTAACATCAAATTTAATAAAAAAGACAAAATATAAAAAATCACTAATACTTGTTTAATATGAAACTATAATGCTTGGTTGTGTACAGGCTGGATTCTCACCTGAGAGGACCTGACATTAACGTCTCCCTGCCTGAAAAGCCTGCGTACTGTCTCGATCTGGCCTTGGGTCTGAATGTATGCTAGCGAGGCCAGCATCACTGGGGTGTAGCCTGCCTTGTTCTGCTTGTTTACGTCCACTACTCCCGAGTCAAGGAAGAGGTTGCAGACATCAAAATTGCAGTTGGAAACAGCATAGTGGAGGGCTGTGTTCCCCTGGCAACATTTCATTATGAATCATAAAATAAACAGCACATGTTATGCTCAAATAAATACATACAGTGTTGAATACAATGTGTACATAAAAGTTTTGCATTCATTAATCAAAGAATATTTGAAAAACCAAACAAGGCTTACTACAAGCAGATGTATTCAACACAATATCATACATTTCCAGTCATTTGACAAGTTTTTTGAAGACGAATATGACTCTGTGTCTCAAAATTTACATCCGAGTACTTCACGTTGCAAGAGTTACAATTATTGTTGGCCATATTGGCAATGGAAGACAAATGTCTGTGCCTAAAGTCTGAGCCTGCTGTGTTGACATGTTCCAATTTACACTGGTTTGCACCATGTTCCAAAACTTACATTTGTGTCTGCCATATTGACAATGTATTCCAGCAGCTTCTTGGAGATCTCATTGAAGGAAGACATGAAGTCCTCCACCTGGTAGTGGTCTGACAGTTTCTGACTGGACACATTGAACCACTCCTTCTGGATTGTACTCAGGTTTGTGTTCTGAAACAGAGTTACCTCCCCTTAGACCATGTTCACAGAAGGAAGGATAATACTACATGTATATTGATAAACAACTTCTTTATTACAGTGAGAGCAATGTTTCGGTGTAGGTTATAAAAACCGTTATCAGTGAATGAGTGAGTGAATTTAGTCTTACACTGCTTTAGCAATATTCCAGCATTATCATGGCGGGGGACACCAGAAATAGGCTTCACACATTGTACCCATGTGGGGAATTGAACCCGGGTCTTCGGCGTGACCATGAGGCTACCCTACACCATTATCAAGCAAGTGATGTTAGAACATACAGAAGTTGTCAGGTTCCTGTTAACTCTGCTATACAACTAAAAAACATGAGAGTGAAACATACCAGTTGTGAAGTTTTGATGGTTGTTGAATCAACCAGATAGTTGGCAAGCACTTTACAGGACATCCTCATGTCTTCACTCAGCTCGAACCTGTTGGTGCATTTGTATCAGAATCAAGGTTATCGATAAACCACACAAATGTGATATTATTAATGGTTAGTTAAAATGCTTGCTTGCATTCCTGTACTTAGCTATTCATGAACAATATATGGCAAAACAAATCTTAATTCTCATTTTAAAGAGATTTTTGGTCAGTCTGCAAGAAAACATTAAAGGTTGAAAAAAATAAAAATTGATTGATAAAATTGCACTAAGGCAAATTCCTACAAAAATTATACATGTTAACAAAACTTTTAACAAATGATGCTTAAAAGAATCATATATTCTGTCACCCACAACATGATTTGCTTTCCATCCATATGAAATATATACTCATGGAAATAAATAAGGCAACATGTGAAAGTACGAGGGTTCCTTTATACTTTTAAAGTTTTTTTCACAAGGTTTGCATTGTGGGTGAAATTCTGGAATTAAATAAAGGAAGATCTCCCTGAAGATAAAAGTGAAACATGTTGGAGAAGATCCGTGTCGTGTGATTATTTCAGAAACTTCTTATATATGTACTACTGTACGCTCGGTATTCTCATCACTTTCTATATATATATATATATATATATATATATATATATATGAGTATACTGGTGATGAAATCACAAAACCCAACATAAGGAAGAGAGAATACACATACGTTTCTCGAATATTCTGGTCAAACATCTTAGCACCTGGGATGCCCTTGGCAATGGCCTCGTCATCTTTACATTGATACACAATGTTTCCATGACGACCATCGTATGACCCCTCCTCGTAGCTGCTGTCGGAACCCTCAGCCTCCTCGTTCTCGGACTCTCCATCAGTCGACTCCTCTGAATCAGTCCTGCGAAACACAAATCAAGAGTCAGCACTTTACCCTCATTTATCCAGGGGAGGATAACTCCATTCCACAATGATATATACCTGGGGCCATTTACTACTGAAGCTTGGCTTAGGAAGTGATGTCACCATTTCCATGTGTTACGAGTAACTTTCCACACAATCAATGGACAAGAAACTAAAGAGTAGGGGCAAATGGCTCTGGTGTATATATCACTGTAGACTGAAGACATATCATACTTTTTTAAGGATCAGCAGATGCAAAAATTCAGTCTTTTCCCAAAGCTATTGAAAGCAAACTCTTACAGCTATAGAAAGCAAAGTGTTGCCACATTGATTAGAAACACACAAAATACAAACAGCCCAGAGTGAACATCAGGAATATCAATAGATAAGATGTGATCGTATCAAGTGTCACCAACTTGATGATCTATACACAAACAAAGTCAAGCTTACATATCTACATAATCTACTATGTTAATAAAAAGATGACAATGAAATTAGATGTTGACATGTTGACAATTACATGTTATGTATCCATGATGAAGGATGAAAAATGTCAGAATAATTTTAGTCATGTCTTGTACTACTGTACTTAAGTAAATATTACCAAAGCTTAAAACAAATAATAAAAGAATACAATGACAAAAGCTTCAAGAAACAAACATTCTGATTAAGCAAAAAGCAGTGAAAAGTAATAGATGGAACCATAAGCATATTTCTGTCTTACTGGACAAGGTTTTGATGGTTTCATTTGAAGAAAAATTCCTTAAGCACATTTCAGCAGTTACAACACAAGAAAATCTTTCATCCAAACTCTTTACAACGTCACTTTCAGAACAACTCAGAGCAGAATGTGAATGAGTGAGTTAACATGGATTTATATAATATTCTTTCAAACATCATGTCTCATGACACAGAGATAGGGTTTCACACTGTACTAATGTAAGGAATAAAATCAAGGCCTTTAGGCATGGCAAACACTTGAATATATGGCCAACCTGACACCCCTTCACTGCAGGATAAGAACTATCAGGTATTGACTTCTCATACAACTATAACTGATAAAGGAGAGTGTAAGTTTTGAAACAACACCCTGCTGAAATGCAAATCTGCTCTCTGCACTGCAGGTGCTTGACATGTTAAGAAAGGGTGTCATTCTAGGAGCTCTGGAACCATGATATAGGGCTATATGAGCACATGGGACAGGATGCCATTCTAGGGGCTCTGGAACCGTGCTGCAGGGCTACATGAACATAATAGGACAGGATGCCATTCTAGGGGCTCTGGAACAGTGCTGCAGGGCTATATGAGCACAATGGGACAGGATGCCATTCTAGGGGCTCTGGAACCGTGCTGCAGGGCTATATGAGCACAATGGGACAGGATGCCATTCTAGGAGCTCTGGAACCATGATATAGGGCTATATGAGCACAATGGGACAGGATGCCATTCTAGGGGCTCTGGAACCATGACATAGGGCTATATGAGCACAATGGGACAGGATGCCATTCTAGGGGCTCTGGAACCCATAGGGAGAGCACAATGGGACAGGATGCTGCAACCGGCTATATGAGCACAATGGGACAGGATGCCATTCTAGGGGCTCTGGAACCATGACATAGGGCTATATGAGCACAATGGGACAGGATGCCATTCTAGGGGCTCTGGAACCGTGCTGCAAGGCTATATGATGCAACCGTGCTGCAAGGCTATATGAGCACAATGGGACAGGATGCCATTCTAGGGGCTCTGGAACCATGACATAGGGCAATATGAGCACAATGGGACAGGATGCCATTCTTGGGGCTCTGGAACCGTGTTGTAGGGCTATATGAGCACAATGGGACAGGATGCCATTCTTGGGGCTCTGGAACCGTACTGCAGGGCTACATGAGCATAATGGGACAGGATGCCATTCTAGGGGCTCTGGAACCGTGCTGCAGGGCTATATGAGCACAATAGGTCAGGATGCCATTCTAGGGGCTCTGGAACCGTGCTGCAGGGCTATATGACCACAATGGGACAGGATGCCATTCTTGGGGCTCTGAAACCGTGCTGCAGGGCTATATGAGCACAATGGGACAGGATGCCATTCTAGGGGCTCTGGAACCGTGCTGCAGGGCTACATGAGCACAATGGGACAGGATGCCATTCTAGGGGCTCTGGAACCGTGCTGCAGGGCTATATGAGCACGCACAATGGGACAGGATGCCATTCTAGGGGCTCTGGAACCGTGCTGCAGGGCTATATGAGCACAATGGGACAGGATGCCATTCTTGGGGCTCTGGAACCGTGCTGCAGGGCTATATGAGCACAATGGGACAGGATGCCATTCTAGGGGCTCTGGAACCGTGCTGCAGGGCTATATGAGCACAATGGGACAGGATGCCATTCTAGGGGCTCTGGAACCGTGCTGCAGGGCTATATGAGCACAATAGGTCAGGATGCCATTCTAGGGGCTCTGGAACAGTGCTGCAGGGCTATATGAGCACAATGGGACAGGATGCCATTCTAGGGGCTCTGGAACCGTGCTGCAGGGCTACATGAGCATAATAGGTCAGGATGCCATTCTAGGGGCTCTGGAACCGTGCTGCAGGGCTACATGAGCACAATGGGACAGGATGCCATTCTAGGGGCTCTGGAACGTGCTGCAGGGCTATATGAGCACAATGGGACAGGATGCCATTCTAGGGGCTCTGGAACCATGCTGCAGGGCTATATGAGCACAATGGGACAGGATGCCATTCTAGGGGCTCTGGAACCATGATACAGGGCTATATGAGCACAATGGGACAGGATGCCATTCTTGGGGCTCTGGAACCATGACATAGGGCTATATGAGCACAATGGGACAGGATGCCATTCAAGGGGCTCTGGAACCGTGCTGCAGGGCTACATGAGCACAATGGGACAGGATGCCATTCTAGGGGCTCTGGAACCGTGATAAAGGGCTACACGAGCACAATGGGCTACATCTGGGCATCAATCATTCCTGCGAGACTCAACTACCTAATTTGGGTTTCAAAGTTCTTTTCCTGTCAATACTACTTTCCATAAAACTTGTATCAAGTGAGGTAATTTCCTGCAGCAGCTAGTGGTACGCCAGGTAATCAATAGAGCTTCAGAATAAGGGAAGTAAGCTCTCCTTTGCAACAGTCACGGTGGACGAGAGTTTTTGTCTCACACCATGTGACCGACTGGCTCCCTAGTATAGTTTCACTTAAGGAAATCTAATGGGGACTAGAGAGTACTAGTGAGTACATGTGATGGATTACACTTAGTGGAAGATAAATGTAAGACTATTGGACCACTGTCAGGGTGCATCTGACTGTCGAGCTAGTGCTGACTCAGCATCATTCATCCACACTGATATGATGAATGTTAAAATGATACCATCAGTTTTGCTTCAGTGCTGAAGTTGGACCCAACAACAAATGGTACCATATGTGTAATATTAAATTATAAGCATATATGTATATAATAGGGAGATACTAGATATGCATATTACTTTTCAAGCACAATGATGATATTTGCCAGTCTGTCACATGGACGGGCCAGAAAGAAATTGTTAGTTGAAACTCTATTCTATGTGACATTACTTTTGTCTACAAATGAACAATCATTCTAGTAGCTTTAATATAAGCCAAAATGTTATAAAGTTAATCTAGTTTAATCCTAATTCAGACATGAGCACTCCCATGTATCAAGTAAGTGATATCAAATGCTAGTAGCAGCACATGTTCTCCATCTTCAAAAGATATTCCCAAGACTCAACATGTTAGCAAGCATTGATGTAGTCTAGAACAGTCATGATCTGTTATGCTTGGGAGGCAGGAGGGATGACCCTTGTCTTGCCTCAACACAGGTATTACCTGCTTAGTGGCCTTTTAATCTTGTACAGGTAAGGTCGTTAACAGGTAGGTTGGACCTGCTGACTTGTTGTAGGTATTGGAGGAGACAGGGCTGATGTAATGGGTTGAGTAAGGACATGCATTAGGCATGACACATGGCAAAACAGGCAAGGGTAATGCTTCCATTCTTCCTTGTGCAACTGAGGAATGTGTACTTTTGGGTACAACTGGCAAAGGGAAGGTTATGTTTAATGCTGCTGTGAATAGTATTTCTGTATCAAGACGTGCCAATCAGCATGGCAGGAAAGTGATGCATATAACAACATTTGCCACAAGCAGAGGTATGGTGCTCTACAAACCAAGGATCATAATCATGGAGATCTGTGATGCCAACTCATGATCAGCGGATCCTGGTACAACTTATGGACATAACTCTGTACTACAAAATGCAGTGACCACATCTGACATACCCTGAGCCACTCCCTATAAGAAGATCTGCATTCTTTCACACAACAAACATTATGTGAACATTGAACATTCTTTTGTTCAGCCTACAAAACCAGACTTTTTCAATTTTCTGCAACACAATTTCCCAACCAGTTATAAAAAGATTAACCTTTCATATTTCAAAATGATATTGGTTCCCCGCATCAGCATGCTGCGATGCATGATTTAGACTGACATGTAACATACACAGGATGCTGCTTGGAGGAAACACTTTCATTACAACTGATTACAGCATTACAGGCGGTGTGCAAAACCGGCTGCTGGGTGTCAGGAAGTATAACCTATGGCCGATCACGACTGTGGGACTTCCTCTTGACACCCACAGAAGCATGGATGAGGGTTAGTTGCCTCCATCTTATCTTACTAATCACACCCACTGTCACACGTTCATATCTCTCATTAGATGTCAAAATTAGAGCTAAAGCATCTATTTAAAAATTTGAAAGTCATGAAGCTGTAGATAGATGTTCACACCGAGTGCTACATTCTCAAAAGAAAGCTCATTACCTTTTCACTGAAGCCTTCTTGCTGAAGAATAAAAAAACCTTCACTTATCCAATAATCCAGTCTGAACCAGACAGTCCAGTGACAGATACTATAAACAATGGTCAAAGATCAACAAACAACCAAGTCACGCCACTTGATCCTCTTTACGACCAGCACAGGTGGAGTAAGATGGGTTTAAAGCCATCTGGAACTGTATTTCAGAATTTACATGGGAGGAAGGCCCAAGTCGGTGCAAACTCATACCTTTATCACTTTGGTTACACCCTCCCATGAATAGAGGTGTCGATAAACAAAGGATTATAGTCTAGGCAAATACTAGATTCAAACCCTCAATCATAGGATCCTAAGGGAAGCAACTCTGCACATTACAATGTCTACATGACTGGACCACAATGGCCCATGACCAAAACAACCAACTGAAGGACTGCACAACTATCTACATGCATGTCAGTTTGATTGCCGACACACAATTAGTGTTTGATCTAAAACATTGATCCCTTCTCAAAGGACATTGCAACCCTTCTGCTGTGGTAAGTATAAGGAGTAGAATGGATGAAGTACCTCCACAAATTCCGATCTAAGTATGAAATGATTTCCTGATGTGCCACAATACTTTGGTATTTCACAATATTCTTCTTTATGCACAAAAATATGTTTTTCAAATTGTTTCAATTATCTGCACATCAGGAGGTCTATGGGTATTGAGTAACAATCTCACGGTTATAATGTATTTAATCAGTTGAATAAGAGCCTTGTTCCAAACAGCAGTGTTGGCACTAAGACTGTAACAGGTTCAATCTGTTAACATTGACTTTCATCCATGGTTGTGATAAGATCATTTGATGACATAAAAATAGATTTTGAAAAGAAAACCAGTCTAAATGTTCCTTTGTTATATCAAAGACGTATCTACGTCTTTGGTTCTATCAAAACAGGAGGAACTTTGGCAATATTTCATGCAGACTAGTGTATCATGATGAGCATTGTAAGTGCGTAAGTTTGGTTTAATACCTCGTGTATCATATATATCACTTTGCATCAGCTTGACCGGTCCCAGACTGTTATCACATACAACTGAAGACATTGGAGCATAAGCCCATGCGCTGTAGTGAGCTCAACAGCACTCACAACAGCTCAACAGTGCTCAGTACAGCTCAACAGCACAACAGCTCACCACAACAGCTCACCACAGCTCAACAGTGCTCACTACAGCTCAACGCTCAGCTCACCAGCGCTCACTACAGCTGCTCAACAGTGCTCACCACAGCTCAACAGTGCTCACTACACAGCTCAGCTCACAACAGCTCAGCAGCTCACACACAGCTCTACAACAGTGACTCAAACAGCTCAACAGCAGAACTCACTACAGCTCAACAGCTCACTGCACAGCTCACAGTGCTCACCTACAGCTCAACAGCTCACCACACTCAACAGCTCAACAGCTCACCACAGCTCACAGCTCACAGCTCTACAGCTCACCACAACGCTCACTCACAGCTCACTCAACAGCTCACCACAGTGCTCACTCACCACAGCTCACACAGCTCACTCCAGCACAGCTCAACAGCTCAACAGTGCTCACCACAGCTCACCACAGTGCTCACCACATTGCTCAGCTCACCAGTGCTCACTACATCTCAACAGCCACTACAGCTCAACAACAGCTCACCACACAGCTCAACAGCTCACACCAGCTCACAGCTCAACAGGGCTCACCAGCGCTCAGCTCAACAGCTCACCAGTGCTCACTACAGCTCAACAGTGCTCACCACAGCTCAACAGTGCTCACTACAGCTCAACAGCGCTCACAACAGCTCAACAGCGCTCACTACAGCTCACCAGTGCTCACTACAGCTCACCAGCGCTCACTACAGCTCACCAGTGCTCACTACAGCTCACCAGTGCTCACTACAGCTCAGTGCTCACCACAGCTCCCCAGCACTCACAACAGCTCACTGGCAGCTCAGCTCAACAGCTCAACAGCACTCACAACAGCTCACCAGCTCACCACAGCTCAACAGTGCTCAGCTCAGCCAGGTGCTCAGCCACTCACAGTGCTCACCACTACAGCTCAACAGTGCTCACCACAGCTCAACAGTGCTCACTACAGCTCAACAGTGCTCAGCTCAACAGTGCTCACCACAGCTCACCAGTGCTCACAACAGCTCAACAGTGCTCACTACAGCTCAACAGTGCTCAGTTCACCAGCGCTCACTACAGCTCAACAGTGCTCAGCTCACCAGTGCTCACTACAGCTCACCAGCGCTCACTACAGCTCAACAGTGCTCACCACAGCTCAACAGCGCTCACCACAGCTTAACAGCACTCACTTCATCAAACAATAAGGACTGATATTACTTATAGTTGGCTTCCAAGACAGACTTACAAAAACCACTGAAATGACTTTTGCCATTATTTTGCGTAGTTACAGTGAAGTGAAAGGAAAATACATGAGATTTTGAATTGGTGAAACAGTAGAAATATTACATTTTTCATTCTAACATAAAAACAATTAATAACCTTTTGATATCAAACCATTCTTAAACTTGTTATTTTTCTTTGAAGCAGTACTAACCTAAGAGTTGAATTCTTAGTATAATTATTTTGACCACTAACATTGAATTTGTACATTTGTAAACCAACAAAGACAAATTATAACATTTAACAACTGCAAAATATTTTACTTCAGTTAAACCAAGTCTTCCTGACTTATATCACTAATACCAGCATTACATGAAGCTGACAAGACACTGATGATCAAATAAGAAATCATCAAGAGAACTGAAATAGAGATATGCACTCTTACAAATATTTAATGATCTAAACCTCTCCTCAACATATCCAGAGCACAGCAACTCATGAGCTGATTTGTGGGTTGCATGTTCACTGAGAGATGCCATTTTTATTACGTTATGTAATGTATCAATAAAGTCGTAATTGATAATGGCCTGATTAAGCAAACAGAGGGCACCACCTTTCGCAGGCCATTTGATATTCTATTTTCATCTGTAATTATGTACAGAAGCAACTGTGAACAACCAATCTATATTGCAGCTGTCGAGCATGGAGGCCAATTCTGTAATTTCCAAAATGGACAATGACTACACACTGGCTGATCAGATTGACAAAATGTAAACTGTTGGTTACGCTTCAGCTATACTAACGTCTGCAGTCTGTGCCAAAGGTTTTTGAGTCTACTAGCCCGAGCTTGTTTCAAAGGATATTTTGTGTGTACATTTATGCCTTTTCAAATGAATTAATGTCAGCAGAGCTTACTTGGCTGCACACAATTTACTAGATGCTGGCTTCACATCAGTGGCTAAAGTTAAAGACTGCTTCTTTGAATCAGTGTGTGAGTGAGTGAGTTGGGTCTAGCACTGCTTTGAATGGAATTCCAGCTATATCATGGCATCCCAGCCTAATGCGAGAGGCAAGCCAAAGCAATGCAGTCCTTAGATTTTTGCCACTTCCACGAATCCATGACCATAGGTATCTTGCTGACAAATTCAAAAACATCATCAAGGTGAACTGTTATTCAACCAACAATTACAAGTTTTAGGGATGCCCAAAAGACACAACTCTGCGCAGTGAATTACAGAGATGCCTATCCCTAAATTTGAAACAGAAGTGCAAAACTAATTAATCAAAATGACCTGAAAATGGCACATCATGTCTGACTTACCCGCCAACAACTGTTGAAGCAAATGAGATTCCCTTCTTCACTTGCGTGTCTGACTTGCTGCGTTTGATGCATGACTTGAGGGTGCCATTCTCAGAGTCGAAGGATGTATTCACACTGCTGTGGGAGGAGGACATTCTGTTTCTATCCAAGTCGCTCCCCAGCCCCTTGTTGAAGTCCCCTTGGGAGCTGCTGGGAGTCACAGAGAACCCACTTTCATTGGAGTACTGGGATGAAGTCATATTACCATCTAAAATATCCAGTCCAGATTTCAACATTGACTGTTCATGTCTCTGGACGCTGCCAAGCAGGTCTGGGTTACCGTTACAGTTTTTGTGGAGGTCACCTTCCCACCTTGAGAGGAAGTTGTCTCCTCAACAGTCACATCAGCACCGCCTCGCGTGGATTGTGTTGTGGTCACTGTTCGTGTGACAACTGACCTCTGCCTGCCACTATCTGGACTCTCCAAGATCTGTGTGTCAGAGCCTCCTGAATCTGAAGTGAAGGATCCACCACTGAGGCGGGTTGGGCTTGTACTCAGGCTGAAGCCAGCTATTCCATCAATGCCACCATCCCTTTCCCATAACCCACGTCTGTTAGACCTTGGACTAGCATTGTCCACATTTAGAGTCAGACCATGAGATGGAGAAGTAAGAGATGAAGAAAACCCACTACCTCCTCCACTGCTTTGCACTACAGTTTCCTGAACAGTTGTCATACCGCTACCACCTCCACTTCCTTCCGCAAAAGTGTACCCACCTCCACCTGTTTGTACAATAGTCATCCCACTGCCACCTCTGCCACCAGCACTTCTCTGCACTACAGTCTCCTGAACAGTTGTTGTACCACTACCACCTCCAGTTCCTTGAACAACTGTCATTCCACTACCACCTCCACCACTTCTCTGTACAACAGTCTCTTGAACAGTTCTCATACTGCCATCTCCTCCTTGTCCTTGAAAAGCTGTCATACCACTGCCAGCTCCACTTCCTTCTGCGAAAGTGTATCCACCTCCGCTAGCTTGTACAATAGTCCTACCAGTGCCACCTCTGCCCTCGGCACTTCTCTGAACGACTGTCTCTTGGACAGTTGTGGTACCGCTACCACCTCCACTTCTCCGTGTGACGCTTTCCTGCATTGATGTTATTCCACTTCCTCCAGTTGATTCTGAGCTGCCACTGCTACTTCGCCTCAACACCTCATCAGCAGAAATTATAGTAGTACTGTGTGCACTTGATGTTCCACTTTGACCATCTCCACCAGTGGAGTCCTGAAGATACCTGATGTACCCAACAGCCTCGCCACTACTGCCATCAACCCTATCACGTTCTGCCTTTTCTCCAGATTGTCTGGACAGTCCAAAGTCTGTTCCTGAGCTTCTGTATGTTACTTGCTCTTCTCTGATTGACAGTCCATCTTGCCCACCCGCCTGCAGCCTCCCAGTCTTTCTTTGTTCATTAATCCCTAGCACTTGTTCCAGAGGCAAGTCCGATTTTTTAGCAACAATTCTCTTTTCAGTCCCACCTAAATCTTTCACAATTTCAAAGTCCCCATGCTCCAAATCACTACCACGGATAACGTAAGACTCTTCAGAATATCGATATTCCTCAAACTCATCACCTGATTTTCTTTTGGGTGATGACTTTGGTGAACTCTCTAATTGTCTCCTCTTGACCTCAGTACTTCCCACAGAACTTCTCTGAGACTCAACACTGGAAGAACCCCCAACACTCATGAATCTGCTCATATCAGCTGGCATGTAGCTGCCTCCGCTGTTCACTGTGGCGCTCTGGTTGCTACGCACGGTGCTGACAGTTTCCACTGAGCTCCTCGACACCTGCTCTCCGAACTGCCTCTGTTGCTGCCCACTGTCCATGTCCTTGCTCACACCAACAGTCTTCACAGACTGTGCAGCACTCTTGTCACCATATCTGCTATCAGTGTTAACACCCTTCTCAGCAACACTGAACTCGGTATTAGAAGATTCATTCTGGAATGTAATTGCAAAGTCAAAAGTATCAGACTTCAAACACTTGAAATCAGTATTCACTCCTATGGACTGGGCAGCTTGTTTCTGAGTATTGCAACTGGCATTCTTCAGTTGGTCTGTTGCATAGAATATCTTGTGGTCCGTCTGGTTGCTGCTGTTTCTGAGGGAAGCTGAGTCTGTGTTGGTTGAGGCATACACAAACCTAGGCTTCTCTGTGGATGTGCTCTTGCTCTTCTTGTCCGCAATAGGAGTATTGGTTCCCTGGTCCAACATCCATCCTTTCTCTGTGCCCACGTAACGGCTTGTCATTTCGGGGTGGAAGCCCACGCCGACGGACCTCATCACATGGTGAGCTCTCACATCAACATCTGTCCGGCAGTCTCCAACGCCTACAGTTACTGTTTTTATTTGATCTGAATCGGTGCCAACATCATTAGTCAAAGGTCTGAAGTTACAATTTGTGCCAATGGAACGGACATTTTTACTGAGCATATCCCGCAGGGCTCCTCTCAGTTCCTCCCCTTTGAAGCTCAAGGAAGTCAGGAGGCTGCCAGTGTCAACATTTATCCCAACTGTTCTTGTTGAAGGCTTTTCATCATCACACACATAGGAGACCCCCACATCTCTAGTTGGGACTCGACATTCAACACCTACATTCCTTTTCCCGACTGGTCCCCCTTGGCCAATGATGACGGTCCTCAGTTCCTTTTCATGGATGTGCAGACCGGAATTGTCGAACACATTGCCATCTCCAACCCCAATGCTGCGAGTCAGTGCCTTAGGTCCTCCTCCTCTCTGTATCTGGTTGATAGTGATGTGAGTCTTTGGACTTGATGCCTGAACAGGAGATAACATAGGACTCTTCAGCTGAGGGTCAAACGTGGTCTCGAGACGAGGCATATCCCTGAAGGAACGACTAAGAGTCTCCAGCTCATAGACGCGTGTTCTGATCTCTGTGTGGACCTCATTTTCTTTCACTGTGTATCCTGTTGGGAGATCTGGTTGCAGCAGGTACGGCTCAATGACACTGTGCTCTCCAATACCAACAGTTCGAGATTTCTTGGGTTTCGGCAGAGTGGGAGGAGGGCTCTTGATAGGCGTTGACATCTGTGGTGACATTGGAGACATGGGTACTTCAGGGAACCTTATTGTCTTGACAGGAGACTGAGCTTGTACTATCTTCATGACAGGCATTGCTTCAGCTACTTCAACTTCATGAATGGACTTGTCTCCAACTCCAATACTCCTGGTGTTCAGCTTGCTGTTCCTTGCCTGGAGCTGTAGCATCAGTAGCCTCTTCTCCTCCTTGAGCACTGAGATTCTAACTTGCAGGATAGGCAGGGCCTTCACCTGCTCCTCTAGGTCTTTCATTCTCTGAAGACTCATGGCCATGGCCTCCCTGATCGCAGACAGGGACATCTTGCTGATGTTGGCAGTGTTGGACTGGGGAGATATGGCACCATCTCTCTCGGTCTGGGGGAAGTGAGTGGCCATTGTCTCTGCCAGTTGGGCAGACGTGACTGTGCGATACTTCTGTGTCTGGTGAGTGCTGTGGCTGCTGTGGCTGCTGTGGGTGTGAGTGCTGTGTGATTTGCTGTGGGATTGGTTCAGGGTTTGGCTGTGGGTTGGGTGAGCTATTTCAGCTGTGGCAGTGGTATGGACATACTGTGTCCCATGTCCTCCATGGGTTGCCATAATCTGACCTTGTGGGTTCTCGCTTGATACAGTGGAAACAGATGACAGCGAACTCATGGAATCAGTTCGTCCAGAAGTTGACAGTGATGTAGCAAAATGTGAAGATTCGTCGCCATTTGGACTTCGTCGTAATGGGAATGTATTATATCTCGTCGGACTTACAGGGCTGACACCATCTTCACTATCAGAGCTAAAATATCGCTGCTGTTTGCGTGTTGGCCTCATCATGTAGTCAATGTGAGCTATGGTCTGATCGACTGAGGAGTCAATCTCATCCAGTATTCTGTGGGTGGACGACTGTTCATACTCCACCATGTGCATGAGTCGACTGGCCTCGGTGGAGTGGACGACGTCTGGTGGCGGTGTACCCGCCTCTTCCATGCGCGCCTGATTCTGCTGCTGCAGCATCACCTCCATCGACTTGCGTAATTTCCGCTTGGCTCGCTGGATTCGCTTCAGCTGCTTCAGAGTGGAGCCACTTGTAATGTTCTCACAGAAGTTCACAAAGTCCAGGTCAATGTGGTATCCATACGGACAGCAATCACACTTGCCATCAATCAAAGCAACCTTAGGCTTCTCCATAACATCAAAGCCATTGCGATCTGAAACAAACAAACAGGCTTATCAGTTGTAATCAGTGGTGCACACACTCAACTATAACAAACTCCAACAAGCCTTCAACATTAGTCTATAAAATCTAACTTAAACATTCGTTCGTTAAGTCTCAATTGTACACATGGATTGTGACTTACGGAAAAGAATTAGCATCGTTACAGGAACTATTCACTTGTGGGATTTTGTTCTGCTGTGTACTACTTCAGTAGGCAACATAATCTAGATTAAACAACATGCCTGTATACACAGCCAGCCACAGTTTTAGTATATTTATACATTTATGAAGTTCAATTCCTGTGCAGGGTTCAGTTTCACATTATTGAATAATATCAGACAAGTCATTTCAAGAATAAAATATTTGGTGATGAGACGAAAAATAAATTTGGTGATGTGAAAGGATCTCTACTAAACATGTTTGAACAAAAATATATTTGAACATTTACATTCATTTCCTGTTTCATGAATCATGAGTCAGGAATATTTGTCAAGTTTGTCTGTAGAAACGGACATTTCATTGGTCATTGTCATTGTAAATTATGAGGAAGCAAAATTTGAATTTTATGACATGAGAGAATGAGTTTAGTTTTAGGCTGCTTTTAGCAATATTCCAGCAATAACGTGTCAGGGAACACCAGAAATGGGCTTCACACACTGTACCCATTTTGGAAATCGAACCTGGGTCTTCGGCATGAAGAGCAAATGCTTTTACCACTTGCCTACTTCAACACCCCTTTATGACATGAAACTGCCTTGGGAACAAATAGGTATTCCCCCTGCTCAGCCTTGACTCAACAGTCCACAGATCAAACAGTGGAGTATCACAGCCATAGCAGGGCTGTTATTGGATGAAGATTAGAATAGAAATCTTCTCTGGTGTAGTGAAAACATGTGAATGAATAGAGAACTGGGCTGTTGATAGCTGTATCATTTGCCGGAGTAATTCGCACATGGGTGAAAAGGAACAGAGATATTTGATTCCAGCGGATACTACGTCCCACCTGAGTGTTCAATATGTGTGTTTGTTGATTAATGCCGCACTCAGCGACACACGAGCTATAGCAGAGCTTGGGGTCCGATTGCTTTTGTGCAATCAACCATCCTACAATTGGATTTTACAGTTTTCTTTCAAATTATGAGATTATTTTTGAATTTAGATGAAAATCAGGTGACAATACAGATTTGATTCTGGCACCTTCATCCTTAGTGCATCCTGGCAACAGCTTGTGTCTCATTGTATCAACTCTGTATAATGTATGAAGATTGTAAACTTTGGAAAGAAAGAAATACTGAATAACAGTATGAGCCATTCAGAATTATTATTCCATTTTCTTGCCATATACTCATGTGTATCCTGTCCTATACATATAGCTTTGCATCACCTCACATCTGTTCTCACATACAGGAAATTGAATATATTTCAGAAATGATTACATTAAATTGCTGTCACTTGTCTCATCCACAGAAATCTATATCCAGTGGGGAGAATTCTGTACCCACACATTAGAAACTTGACTTGAAACAAACTCAAATATATTTGAACAAGAAGAAGACAAAGTCATCAATATCCCCCGCAATGGCAAAATACTCTTCATGATTATGTCTACAAGTTATGATTATGTCAAATATTTAGGTGTGTATATAGAAAAGTGGAAGGAGAGTATTGAAAGGTTTATAAAGTTCTGCTCCAGAAAGGAGCACTATCACCAATTTCAGTCTATGTCAAACTTGTTGCCATGGAAATGCCAAAAATATTTTATTCAGAAATCCAAAACTACCAAAAGGCACCAGTACACCACCAGATCTATCTATGTGCCAAGTTTGGTGAAGAAACATTCAATGGTTTTAGAGTTCTGCTCCGGAAAAGTGCACTACCACCAATTTCAGGCTAAATCAAACTTGTTGCCATGGAAAAGCCAAAATATTTTATTCAGAATTCCAAAACTACCAAAAGGCACCAATACACCACCAGATCTATCTATGTGCCAAGTTTGGTGAAGAAATAGTGAACGGTTTTAGAGTTCTTCTCCAGAAAAGAGCACTACCACCAATTTCAGGCTAAGTCAAACTTGTTGCCATGGACACGCCAAAAATATTTTATTCAGAATTGCAAAACTACCAAAAGGCACCAGTACACCACCAGTCCAATCTAGGTGCCAAGTTTGGTGAAGAAATAGTGAACGGTTTTAGAGTTATGCTCCGGAAAAGACAAATGAGCACGGACGGAGGGACGCACGGACGGAGTCCATTTTAATACCCCCCGGAAAATGTGTTGCGGGGGATAATAATCACTAGTTATCACAAACCTATGGCAGAATAATCCCCAAATATATACATACAAAATATCAACACACGTCAAAACTGACCTCTTCTCTTGACCTCCGCTGTGCCAGTAACGAAAGTTACCCGCGAAGCCATCTTGAGATAACCTGGTGACGCCCTTCTGCCTCAAGTAGTGCAAGGCTCTACAGCATCACAGTGCACACCTGCAAAACAAAACGGGAATCTGTTAGACCACAAGCCACCATTTAACATGCTGTCGAGGAACAGGAGTCAGGAGCGAGAAAACGGCCTGCAGGAAGCATCCAATCTCACATCAGAGGATCATCTGAGGCTCCAAGGCTTGGCCTGTACAATCTTGGGAAAGAAAAGGTTGGTAAATGGAGACACATGTAAACAACAGAGACAATGATGTAAACACAATATTGAAAAAGGTTTCTGGCCATGGCTGGGCAATAAGGATCAGTTACTTCATCAGAAAAAGACTTCAGATGTGTCCAGTTCATGGCAATGGTCATTCTGTGATTGTGAGTGAAAGAGTTCAATGTCAGCTTGTATGAATGTGATCACTACTTTAGTTTGAACTCAGTTTGGTGCCTCAGCCTAAGACTGAAGACCGACAGATTCTGGGTTTTAACATGTCTTCAGCAACCCATCCTTGTCTTGACTAACAAGATTGGGTGGTCAAACTGACTGACTTAGTTGATGGATGTCGTGTCCTAATTCCACTGACTGATGCTCATGGTGTCAAGCCTGGGGTGTCAGCTCTGGACCAGATTTTTAATTGCTGGAATATAACTGAGTGAAGGAAGTCCAAGGTGATGAAAGTTGATTAACATAATACTGTTGCTACTCCCTTCCTCCCTCACATATGCACTGTCATCAGAAAAGTACTCACTGTCATGCTAAATACATGTATAACACTGTTATCGCCCACGATCCTCTTGTAAAACAGTCATCATACTTATAACACTGTTATCGCCCACCTTCTCCCTGTGAACACTGTCATCATACTTATCATAACACTGTTATCGCCCACCTTCTCGCTGTGAACACTGTCATCATACTTATAACACTGTTATCGCCCACCTTCTCCCTGTGAACACTGTCATCATACTTATCATAACACTGTTATCGCCCACCTTCTCCCTGTGAACACTGTCATCATACTTATAACACTGTTATCGCCCACCTTCTCGCTGTGAACACTGTCATCATACTTATAACACTGTTATCACCCACCTTCTCCCTGTGAACACTGTCATCATACTTATCATAACACTGTTATCGCCCACCTTCTCCCTGTGAACACTGTCATCATACTTATAACACTGTTATCACCCACCTTCTCCCTGTGAACACTGTCATCATACTTATCATAACATTGTTATCGCCCACCTTCTCCCTGTGAACACTGTCATCATACTTATAACACTGTTATCACCCACCTTCTCCCTGTGAACACTGTCATCATACTTATCATAACACTGTTACACCTTTGATGATAAAGACTTCATACCTTGTCTTCACTTGTAGATATCTGTTGATTTTTTTGCTAGTGTCTGTGTTTATGTACTCTGTTCAACATTCTGCTTAGCTGGTAGATCTGTGTGCCTGATAATGGTACCAGCAACAGGAAGGTAAAAGAAAAAGTAAAACAAACCAGAAATCCATAATTACACCAAAGTAAGGATATCCATTTACAAGATTACATTCTGCCATGTTAGCACAGATCTAAACAGATAATGTGCAAAGTACACATTACACAGCAAAAAGGCCTCAAACATCTGCAATCCCAGACAGTTGGTATTTACACTTTACAAAAACTAAGACTCGTTTAAAGTATCATGAAAGAAAGTCAAAACCTGACTCCTATTATCCGTCCATTAGTGATATTGAAGCCTGTGGCATCAGCAGAAGGGCAACAGACACTCTTGGGATTTATTTGGATAACAAAAGTAATCTGGTGTGACATCATACGCTGTGGAGTTATCAAAGGAGCTGTCACTCACATGCAACAACAAACATTTGGTCAGTTCCGTTGTTTGTTATGACTGCTGGATACCTGTCAAGCTTGATGGATCAAATCTATTTCAGCAAACACCTTTGCTTAAATGGATAATGTTCAGTAACTCTGGAGGGGAAGCATCGAGATCATGCTTATGACCATGACTGCATCTACAGAAGACTTGTAAAAAGGTTTCTGACATAAAAAATATATATCTTACTTGCAGTTAAGTATAGTAATGTTTTAAAGCAAATTTCACATTTCTATTGATAAAGTTTGTTTTCAAAGATTCATTCACCTGAACTCAAAGGAGTGTACAACTTATTTATTTTTACGGTGCATGAGATGAAATAAACATCATACACATTGTATAATAGCTCTTATCCTTCTGTATAATTTTGAGTAGGGGAAGTAACTCTGATGAATTCACACAGGAATCTGCATGATGTCTGAAAGTTTGCATAACTGGGCATTGTCTGAGAAAATGCAAGTTTCAATACAAGTCTTGTGTCAGACTTGGAGTTAGGGCTTGATGATATAAACAGTTGTCATCTCTTCCACAGCACCTACAGTCATGTCCAGAGGTCAATAAGGACAATCTTTTATCAACAGAACACAAAAACATAATATCATTTCATTTCAATATATTTTGTGGGGTACAAAGATAAGATCAATATCAATTCTTAAATTCTGACTTTCTTCTTTACTTAGAAGAATCTAAACAAACTAATTTGGAAATTCTATTTGTCTTGCATTTATTGGAAGCCAAAGTACATACATGTTATGATTTCTTTCAGTGCCCTGTACAAACCTGTCAGACTCAAGGGATGATATATCATATGAGTGTGTCAGTTTATTGGTATAATGCTGTTATCACACAAACTCATTTAACTCCATCGATCGTAACACTCAGACATACACAACTCATCAAAGACGATCAGAAAAGGAAATGGAGGCCTGTGACCCTCCTGGCTTCAGTACAATATTCAATAAGACTGAGTTCCAGCCAGCCTAGTTGGTGGGAGAGGTTAGGCCACATCCACAGATAGACAAGGATGGCGGCTATCAGCACCTTCAGGCAGCTTCCAACTAATTAGATAAGGAGATCTGTCCAAGGGTCACACGCACACCAGGGGTAGGTCTGCTACAGTACACACCAGGGGTAGGTCTGCTACAGTACACATCAGGGGTAGGTCTGCTACAGTACACACCAGGGTAGGTCTGCTACAGTACACACCAGGGTTAGGTCTGCTACAGTACACACCAGGGGTAGGTCTGCTACAGTACACACCAGGGTAGGTCTGCTACAGTACACACCAGGGGTAGGTCTGCTACAGTACACACCAGGGGTCTGGTACAGTACACACCAGGGTAGGTCTGCTACACACACCAGGGTTAGGTCTGCTACAGTACACACTAGGGGTAGGTCTGCTACAGTACACACCAGGGGGTAGGTCTGCTACAGTACACACACCAGGGGTAGGTCTGCTACAGTACACACACCAGGGGTAGGTCTGCTACAGTACACACCAGGGGTAGGTCTGCTACAGTACACACCAGGGGTAGGTCTGCTACAGTACACACCAGGGGTAGGTCTGCTACAGTACACACCAGGGGTAGGTCTGCTACAGTACACACCAGGGGTAGGTCTGCTACAGCACACACACCAGGGTTAGGTCTGCTACAGTACACACCAGGGTTAGGTCTGCTACAGTATACACACCAGGGTAGGTCTGCTACAGTACACACCAGGGTTAGGTCTGCTACAGTACACACCAGGGTTAGGTCTGCTACAGTACACACACCAGGGGTAGGTCTGCTACAGTACACACCAGGGTAGGTCTGCTACAGTACACACCAGGGTAGGTCTGCTACAGTACACACCAGGGTAGGTCTGCTACAGTACACACCAGGGGTAGGTCTGCTACAGTACACACCAGGGGTAGGTCTGCTACAGTACACACCAGGGGTAGGTCTGCTACAGTACACACCAGGGTAGGTCTGCTACAGTACACACCAGGGGTAGGTCTGCTACAGTACACACCAGGGGTAGGTCTGCTACAGTACACACCAGGGGTAGGTCTGCTACAGTACACACCAGGGGTAGGTCTGCTACAGTACACACCAGGGGTAGGTCTGCTACAGTACACACCAGGGGTAGGTCTGCTACAGTACACACCAGGGTAGGTCTGCTACAGTACACACCAGGGTTAAGTCTGCTACAGTACACACCAAGAGTAGGTCTGCTACAGTACACACCAGGGGTAGGTCTGCTACAGTACACACCAGTTTCTTTCAACCTTATTTGTTAATAACAAGCCAAAAAGCTCTAATTCTTACGGTTGGTAATAACCAGTTGTGGGAGAGATGTCATCACATTGAAAACAGCTAATGGCATTCTTTCCCTGATTTACATGTATTTATGAAATTCCTTGGTGTCCCTCACAGGCTGCTATGACCTTATAACCTGTGTGCTAGGGCTCTAACTGAGTTGAAATACGTTTACAGGGTGAATAGAAGGTCCATTTGCAAAACTGTTAGCTTAATTAGCATTCAAATGACACTAAACACAGATGCACACAAATCCAACACTGAGACTAAGGACTACAGGGTTTCTGGCAGTTTTAATTCGTGGCCACAAGAAAAACTTTGTCCATCTGGTTTCCCCTCTCTCCAAAATCAATCAGTGTTTTATGAATCTTTCCTCTTAAGGAACAATGACGTAGGAAAAGATTACACGGAGTGGGACAGTGGCACTTGCTCACATTTTGATAAGAAGAGTTCATCGAAATTGAAAGCACAAATATTCTTGCAGATCCTCTATTTCTTTTTTGTTCAAGAGTCTATGCAACAAAAGTCTAACAAAACCTCACATTCCTTAATCAGTCAGTGTTAATGTTGAGGTCTCCAGCTTGTTGCAGTGAATCCACTTGCCTTCTAATGGTTGGAAATCTCTTCAAAACACAAGGCAGAACATGAAATATCTGGACTAGCCATATTTTGATTTTGAAGAATACATTCATAAAAAGGCATTATGTCTGATCACACAGAAAATGTCATTATCAAGTGTGAAACCTGATGAATGACTTCTTCCGATCTACTTCTTGACTCTTTGTCATGTGAACGACTGTACAAGCAGCATTATGTAAAGGTCAAATGACAACTCATGGCATGACTAAATTCAATATCAATCCCTTG